ATGAAGCCACCGGAGAGACTGACGCATGAATGCGTATTGAAAAAAAAAAAGTTCAGTTTGATAAGTGACTTGCTTGATATATATTGTTTATTTTGTTTTTCTTAACAATTAAGATGGTATGTTATTATCCAGTGTAATCCAAGTATGAGTCTCTCCCTCGACTCTCCCAACAAAAACCCGCCCCCCCTCTCAGAAAATAGTTCCGACGTCCATGCTCCAACCCCAGCACAAGAACGTGTTTCTGTAATAACACAGTCTGTGACGAAACCTCAGCTTGAAATGTGAAAGAACTAAACTACATTAAGCTCAAGTCTGTGAGTGATTAGCCTGCTATACCTGATGCTAGCTTCCTCTAACAAACTAGCATTTAGCAAAACTGGACTGAGGTAGCATCACAGAGCCCTGGCTGCGTCCTGAGTCTTCTTATACAACACCTTTTCCTCTGAGTTTCTCTTCTTTGTCACTTTGGGGGTTTTCGGTTCAGACATTGTAGGTGTTTTAGAAAATTCAACTCAAAAACAACATGCACTGAGGAAAAGCAGGAGGAGGAAGTGGAGGAATCCCATTGTTTCGTTCTATCAGCCCCAAATTATTTATCATTTTATTTTTGAGGCTACATCTGGTCCATTCCTATTTGAAAACACATGATAACTTGACTAATTTCGGGGCTTCAGGGTCTTGCGTCTTTCATCAAATACTACCAGAGTGTGTTGTTGTGTCTCCACCTGGCCACGCCCCCTCGCCCTAAGCCCCTCCTCTTCTTGGTTGCCTTGGAAACCTCTTTGTCCATGACGAAAGAGTGTCTGTTGCATGTCTCGGCGGTCTTCTCTGTTCTGACACGTCCTGCACCTCGTTCCATTCATCTCTAATGGTCTTTCAGAGTCATTATGGTTTTAAAAAGCAGGTTTCCAGAGGGGGCTCCAGCAGAGATCAGCGCCGCAGTAGACTAACCACTCAGCTAATCAGTCTGCCACAGTCTTCTGATTTGAATGAGAATCCCGGTCATTTGACTAAAACTCCGAAGTACATATCATCTTTCACTCTCCTCAGTGCACAAAGTTATACATATTATAAATCCTAGTTTCTTAATATATTAGGATGAATTCAAACTAACCAAAAAAGTGCCATCTCCATCGGCTCTGCTGCCATTTATCGCCATAACGGTCATGTACGTTTTTAAGATGATATTGAAAATGCTAATGTAGTTTAGAAAGGCCCAACCACGGAATGGAAATGAAAATTAGCAATATCTTTAACCTTTTTATGCGTCGCATCAGTTATTAGCTAGTTTTGTTCTGTGTTGACTTGCGATGTCAAGTCAACACAGACTCAAGACCCACACGATTCTGTGGGTCTTGAGAATCAGTTAAATAATCAAAAACAGCTGGCAGTCAATGATATTTAACAACTCTCTCCCCTCTTAAAGCCACAGCTCTGTCCATATCTCTACATTAAGGCCTTAATAATTGTGCGTCGGTGCTGGTTGTTGGTCTGGTTTTGGCTAAATTCAAAAAAAATCCCCAGATTCAAAACAGAGGCAAATCAGGCTGCACCAGAATCTGTGTCTCTGAGAACCAGACTGCAGCAGAGACCTTCGTCGCTATAGCTCATGTTTTAGTTATGTCCTTTGCTAATAAAATGTGTTCCACATGTTTAAGAAAACATGTGGATCGTACAAAATTAATGATTAGAAAAAACAATAAAAAACAAAGAATCATGAAAACAAAAACACATAAAATAAAAACAGTTTGAAGAAGTGCTAAAGGCCATCTTATTTTTTTCTTGTTTTTATTTTTTATTTTATTTAATTTGTACAAAGGGGCAGGCAACATAAGATTTTTTTTTCTTCTTTCTGCTCCTTTTCATTTGTGCGACAAGACGACAATTATTTGAAATGTAATATGTGTAGTATTGTTTTTGTCCACAATTGAAACAAATAAATAAATAATAAATAAATAATAAATACATAAATAAATAGAAATTAAATAAATAAATAAATACATAAAATTATATGTAACTGTCTTTTGGAAAATTAATATTATAATTCTCATGAGACAATCCAGCTTCTCCTTTAGGGTTGAACTGTGGAACTCTCTCCCCACTGGGCCAAAACTACAGACTTGTTCTCACGTGTAAATTAGCACCTGCGCATTAACACTTACAGCGTCTGGTTTGTCCAATGTTATTGTTATGTCCATCTGAAATTAATATATTTAAAAAAATGTATACAAACTGTATTTTACACTCAAAAAACCTCCATTTAGTGAGAAAAGATCTAATACAAGCATTTTTAAATATGTAATTTTTCTGCTGTTTTGATTTTTATATGGAAAAAATCATTGTTCTCCGGGTTCCCTCGCTCCCATCTCCTCTGGATGAAATCCCTTGGAAAAAATAAGAAAAAACTATTTGAAAATAAGCAAAATACGGCTTAAAATGATAAAAAATGATCTGAAAATATTACAAGGACTTAAGATTTCTCATGATTACAAAATTATTCTAGCCCCAAACGACTTGATTCTAGTTTAAAAACATACATTTAAAGTATTATTTACTTATTTCTATAATTTTTTTTATGTTTTCTTCAAATACAGCATCACAAACTTATTTTATCTGAACAATAAAAGTCTGGAAATAAGAAAAATGTTGTGTGTGTCAGTTAAGTAAGTAAGTAAGTAAGTAAGCTTTATTTATATACCGCCTTTCACAGACCAGAGTCACAAAGCGGTTTACACTTGTTATTTTTTGGGCATTTGTCTCTCACTCCACACAGAGATGGGAGCGGGGTCGCCGAACAGGAGGCACATGCCAGACCTATTGTACATATTTTTAGTGGTAGGGGAAACCGGAGTACCCGGAGGAAACCTACGCAGACACGGGGAGAACATACAAACTCCACTCAGAAAGGCCCTGGTCCGGCCGGGATTCGAACCAGGACCTTCTTGCTGAGAGGCGAGAGTGCTTACCACTCAGCCACCGTGCCGCAGTTGGTGGAGCATTGGCCTTTGAGGCAGAAGGTCGTGGGTTCAAGCCCGACTTTCACCATCGACTCCCACTGTCTGCTGTCGTTGTGTCCTTGGCAAGACACTTAACCTCTGGGAACCCCAGCCACAGTGGTGCGGCTGTAAAGTGCCAAACTGCCGTTGTGTCCTTAGGCAAGACATTTCACCCCCATTGGAATGAGTCTGGTGTGTGTGAATGGTCTCTCTGGACTCTCTCTGGTCTCTCTTTGGGCTCTTTCTAGTCTCTCTTTGGCCTCTCTCTAGTCTCTCTCTGGTCTCTCTCTGGACTCTCTCTGGTCTCTCTCTGGTCTCTCTTTGGGCTCTTTCTAGTCTCTCTTTGGTCTCTCTCTGGACTCTCTCTGGTCTCTCTCTGGTCTCTCTCTGGTCTCTCTCTGGTCTCTCTCTGGTCTCTCTTCGGGCTCTTTCTAGTCTCTCTTTGGTCTCTCTCTGGTCTCTCTTTGGTCTCTTTCTAGACTCTCTCTGGTATCTCTCTGGTCTCTCTTTGGTCTCTTTCTAGTCTCTCTCTGGTCTCTCTTTGGTCTATTTCTAGTCTCTCTTTGGTCTCTCTCTGGCCTCTCTCTGGTCTCTCTGGTCTCTCTTTGGTTTCTTTCTAGTCTCTCTTTGGTCTCTCTCTGGTCTCTCTTTGGTCTCTCTCTGGTCTCTCTCTGGTCTCTCTTTGGTCTCTTTCTAGTCTCTCTTTGGTCTCTCTCTGGCCTCTCTCTGGTCTCTCTTTGGTTTCTTTCTAGTCTCTCTTTGGTCTCTCTCTGGTCTCTCTTTGGTCTCTCTCTGGTCTCTCTCTGGTCTCTCTTTGGTCTCTTTCTAGTCTCTCTCTGGTCTCTCTTTGGTCTCTCTCTGGTCTCTCTTTGGTCTCTCTCTGGTCTCTCTCTGGTCTCTCTTTGGTTTCTTTCTAGTCTCTCTTTGGTCTCTCTCTGGTCTCTCTCTGGTCTCTCTCTGGTCTCTCTCTGGTCTCTCTCTGGTCTCTCTCTGGTCTCTCTCTGGTCTCTCTCTCTGGTCTCTCTCTGGTCTCTCTCTGATCCTTAGTCAAGACACTTCCCCCACATTAGAATGAGTCTGGTGTGTGTGTGAATGGTTGGTGGTGGTGGGAGGGGCTGATGGCACAGACTGGTTGCCTCGCTTCTGTCAGTGTGCCCCAGGGCAGCTGTGGCTACAGTAGTAGTTTATCTCTCTGGTCTCTTTCTAGTCTCTCGCTGGTCTCTCTCTGGTCTCTCTTTGGTCTCGCTCTGGTCTCTCTCTCTGGTCTTTCTCTGGTCTCTCTTTGGTCTCGCTCTGGTCTCTCTCTCTGGTCTCTCTCTAGTCTCTCTCTGGTCTCTCTCTAGTCTCTCTCTGGTCTCTTTCTAGTCTAGTAGTTTATCACCACCGTGTTTAGAGTGAAACCAAAGCATTATTATTTTTTATTACTAAGACTCTTTTAGAAAAAATCGTTTTAAATATATTTTTGTTTAAGGAAATACGATTTGTCGCTGACTCCACTTTTTGTTTTGTTTTGTTTTGAATAAAAAGCAAGGCCCTACTTCCTTATCACCCTAAAAGACTCGGATAAAAACATGACTTTCAAACTTGATTGACGGCTTCTCAAACGCACAAAGCGATGTAGCTCCTTTAACCCCTCGTTATGTCTCGTTGCGGTCTCTATCTCAGCCCCTATTTGGTCACATCCTGCTCCTCGGATCCATGACCTTTTTCAGTCTCTTTCTGCAGACAAAGCTTCATCCTTCACTGGACCCCGCTCTTCCAACACCGCTTTCCCATAAAAAGCAATTCTGAAAAACTGAGATGAGACGGACAAATGAGTATTGTACAAGCATCAAGAGACCGAAGAGAAAAGAAGTTTGGGTTAAAATCGTTTCGAAAAATCAAAATGAAAGTAAAGTGGATTGTGTGACGCTGTGAAAATGTGTTTTAATATTAATAGTAGTTCATTTGTATTTGTTTTTGTAGAATATTTAACGTTTTCTGTGATTCTTTTCTTGTTTTTAGTTTGGTGGACGACCGGTGTGTGGTGGAGCCCAACGCTGGAGACCTGGAAAACCCTCCCAAGAAATTTAGAGGTAAAAGACATCCTAGTTTTCACAAAAAGAACTCTGGTCTCTCTCTCTGGTCTCTTGCTGGTCTCTCGCTGGTCTCTCTCTAGTCTCTCCGGTCTCTCTCTCCGGTCTCTCTCTCTGGTCTCTTGCTGGTCTCTCGCTGGTCTCTCTCTCTGGTCTCTCTCTCTGGTCTCTTGCTGGTCTCTCTCTGGTCTCTCTCTAGTCTCTCCGGTCTCTCTCTCCGGTCTCTCTCTCTGGTCTCTTGCTGGTCTCTCGCTGGTCTCTCTCTCTGGTCTCTCTCTCTGGTCTCTCTCTAGTCTCTCTGGTCTCTCTCTGGTCTCTCTCTAGTCTCTCTGGACTCTCTGGTCTCTCTCTAGTCTCTCTGGACTCTCTGGTCTCTCTCTGGTCTCTCTCTCTGGTCTCTCTCTGGTCTCTCTCTAGTCTCTCTCTAGTCTCTCTGGTCTCTCTGGTCTCTCTCTCTGGTCACTCTCTGGACTCTCTCTCTAGTCTCTCTGGTCTCTCTCTCTAGTCTCTCTGGTCTCTCTCTCTGGTCTCTCTCTGGTCTCTCTCTCTGGTCTCTCTCTAGTCTCTAGTCTCTCTGGACTCTCTGGTCTCTCTCTAGTCTCTCTGGTCTCTCTCTGGTCTCTCTCTAGTCTCTCTCTCTGGTCTCTCTCTCTGGTCTCTCTCTCTGGTCTCTCTCTGGTCTCTCCCTCTAGTCTCTCTAGTCTCTCTGGACTCTCTGGTCTCTCTCTGGTCTCTCTCTGGTCTCTCTCTCTGGTCTCTCTCTGGTCTCTCTCTCTGGTCTCTCTATTTGGTCTCTCTGGTCTCTCTGGTCTCTCTCTGGTCTCTCTCTGATCCACCAGAATAACCCAGACGATGCTATGCTAGCTCTGTCTCGGCGGCCAATCCTGGTTTTTTTTTGGACATTAAAGTCAGAAAGAGCAAAGACACAGATTATTCCTGTTTCCCCTGAAGAGGTCACATGACTCTGGGGATCACATGACCCAGTCTTCATCAAAAACACGACAGAAGTGAGTCCAGTCCAGCTGCAGTGGACCTGGATCAGGCCTGGGTCAGACCCAGTTTGGAAGTGGAGCACAGTGATCTAGATTCAAGTTTCAACCTCACGTTTTGTTTTTAAATATTTATGAATGTAAATATGTGTGTCTGAGAACTAAAATATAAACTAGTTTTTACAGTATCTTTCTGAAGCTGAAGGAAAAAAAAACTATTCTAAATGTTCAGAAAGTAAATATTGAGCCCTATAATTATTAGTTATTGTGATTCAAGGTTTTCTTTTTTCTGTCGTAAGTAATTCATTTACTTCAAAAGATAAACTTTATAGTCCCAACTTTTATTTTTTTATAGCGCCTCAGAACCCACATCACATCAGCCCTTAATCATCCATCCATCCATCCATCCATTTTCTACCCTTTAATCCATTTCTGGGTCAGGGGGGTGGCAGTCAGAGATGCACCCAAGTCTCATAGCACCAGCCCCTCACTGACCCTCTGCAGGTGGTGAGTCCACAGGAGGATCATCAAACAGTAAAATATACATAATCATTAAAGAAAAAAGTATATCTCACGGATTAAAGGAGCAGTCTGTAAAAATGTGGCCAAAAGTGGTACTGCAGCCTCTCCCACTCTCCCTGACTCAGGTTGCCAGATATGCAGATGAATCCAGCTGGGACCATAACAGCTGAATAGACAAGAGTTTTGTCAACAACAAATCTATAACCAACACCTTTTTCACAAAGGTTTTAAGTTTTTAATGATGACAGATTTGGGCCCTTTAATTATGACAGATTAGGGCCCTTTAATTATGACAGATTAGGGCCCTTTAATTATGACAGATTAGGGCCCTTTAATGATGACAGATTATGGCCCTTTAATGACGACAGATTAGGGCCCTTTGATGATGACGGATTATGGCCCTTTAATTATGACAGATTAGGGCCCTTTAATGATGACAGATTAGGGCCCTTTAATGATGACTTGACATGAAAATCATACATATTACTTTAATTAGACACATTTTAGTTATATTTTTTCTTATTGTAAAATGTTTAGACGATCTTTAAAAACATGTGACCTGAGATCTAATGTAGATATATTTATTATAAACGTGAAGCGCTGGTCTGTGAAAGGCGCTGTACCAATAAACTTTACATGCTTATCTATAATCAGAGTGGTGCATCTTGGTCTCAAAGATCATTTGTGGTCCCTGTGATAATAACAGGTTAAATGTAATGATAATGTAAGTCACAGATGTTTGAACTGAACAAACAGGATCTGAACCAAAGCTAATATTTACCTCCTGCTCCTCCGTTTACTCTGCTTCACTTTGAACCCAGAAGTGAATTCACAGGAAATGATTTTTGCATTTAGGAAAATTAATGTCTTTTTAACAATAAATCTCACGTGAATATTTCTACTAGCTCACTCGGATTCAGAGAAACGAATGAAAAACACACAGAACGATAAGAATGCTAATGTAGCTTTGGGTGCTAATGTAGCTTTGGGTGCTAATGTAGCTTTGGGTGCTAATGTAGCTTTGGTTGCTAATGTAGCTTTGGTTGCTAATGTAGCTTTGGGTGCTAATGTAGCTTTGGTTGCTAATGTAGCTTTGGTTGCTAATGTAGCTTTGGTTGCTATTGTAGCTTTGGGTGCTAATGTAGCTTTGGTTGCTATTGTAGCTTTGGTTGCTAATGTAGCTTTGGTTGCTATTGTAGCTTTGGGTGCTAATGTAGCTTTGGGTGCTAATGTAGCTTTGGTTGCTATTGTAGCTTTGGGTGCTAATGTAGCTTTGGGTGCTAATGTAGCTTTGGTTGCTAATGTAGCTTTGGGTGCTAATGTAGCTTTGGGTGCTAATGTAGCTTTGGGTGCTAATGTAGCTTTGGGTGCTAATGTAGCTTTGGGTGCTAATGTAGCTTTGGTTGCTAATGTAGCTTTGGGTGCTAATGTAGCTTTGGTTGCTATTGTAGCTTTGGGTGCTAATGTAGCTTTGGGTGCTAATGTAGCTTTGGGTGCTAATGTAGCTTTGGTTGCTAATGTAGCTTTGGGTGCTAATGTAGCTTTGGTTGCTATTGTAGCTTTGGGTGCTAATGTAGCTTTGGGTGCTAATGTAGCTTTGGGTGCTAATGTAGCTTTGGTTGCTAATGTAGCTTTGGGTGCTAATGTAGCTTTGGTTGCTAATGTAGCTTTGGTTGCTAATGTAGCTTTGGTTGCTATTGTAGCTTTGGTTGCTAATGTAGCTTTGGTTGCTATTGTAGCTTTGGTTGCTAATGTAGCTTTGGTTGCTATTGTAGCTTTGGGTGCTAATGTAGCTTTGGGTGCTAATGTAGCTTTGGGTGCTAATGTAGCTTTGGTTGCTAATGTAGCTTTGGGTGCCTATGTAGCTTTGGTTGCTAATGTAGCTTTGGTTGCTAATGTAGCTTTGGTTGCTATTGTAGCTTTGGTTGCTAATGTAGCTTTGGTTGCTAATGTAGCTTTGGTTGCTAATGTAGCTTTTGGTTGCTATTGTAGCTTTGGGTTGCTAATGTAGCTTTGGTTGCTAATGTAGCTTTGGTTGCTAATGTAGCTTTGGTTGCTAATGTAGCTTTGGTTGCTATTGTAGCTTTGGTTGCTAATGTAGCTTTGGTTGCTAATGTAGCTTTGGTTGCTATTGTAGCTTTGGTTGCTATTGTAGCTTTGGTTGCTAATGTAGCTTTGGTTGCTATTGTAGCTTTGGTTCTAATGTAGCTTTGGTTGCTAATGTAGCTTTGGTTGCTAATGTAGCTTTGGTTGCTATTGTAGCTTTGGTTGCTAATGTAGCTTTGGGTGCTAATGTAGCTTTGGGTGCTAATGTAGCTTTGGTTGCTAATGTAGCTTTGGGTGCTAATGTAGCTTTGGTTGCTAATGTAGCTTTGGTTGCTAATGTAGCTTTGGTTGCTAATGTAGCTTTGGTTGCTAATGTAGCTTTGGTTGCTATTGTAGCTTTGGTTGCTAATGTAGCTTTGGTTGCTATTGTAGCTTTGGTTGCTAATGTAGCTTTGGTTGCTAATGTAGCTTTGGTTGCTAATGTAGCTTTTTTTTGATATATCGTGCATAAATTAAATGACTACCAATGATGACGTATGAATCTGGATCTTAACAAACTCGGCTGTGGTCATGTAAGTGTCAGCTCCGTCTATTTTTGTTTACATTTCTTGTTGCTGTTTTTTCTTCTTGATGTTTTGTGTTTTGTCGTGTTCTGTAGTTTGTTGTATAATTCCTTGTATGTCTTTTATGTATTTATTTATTATTGAATTAAACTAAAAATGAATGGTATGTGAATCTTTGACCTGGTGGACGTGTGTGTTTTCAGACTGTCTGTTTAAGGTCTGTCCCATGAGCAGATACTCGGCTCAGAAACAGTTCTGGAAAGCCAAACAGGCCAAACACGAGAAGGACAAGATCGGAGACGGCGTCCTGCTGCAAAAACTACAGGTACACAACACAACACAACACAACACAAAACATACAAAACAATGTATTCTTGTATAGCCCTAAATCACAACAGAGGACTTGAAACCATTGAAATCACATGGTATTGGACCATAGGGAGAGACCACATGGTATTGGACCATAGGGAGAGACCACATGGTATTGGACCATAGGGAGAGACCACATGGTATTGGACCATATGGAGAGACCACATGGTATTGGACCATATGGAGAGACCACATGGTATTGGACCATATGGAGAGACCACATGGTATTGGACCATATGGAGAGACCACATGGTATTGGACCATATGGAGAGACCACATGGTATTGGACCATATGGAGAGACCACATGGTATTGGACCATATGGAGAGACTACATGGTATTGGACCATATGGAGAGACCAATGTCCATGAATGTTGATACATGTCATACATGTTGTAGAATGTAGAGTGTCCTGGATCATCACAGTCCTTCTTGTTAGACACTTAAAACATTTCTAAAACCCAGTGGGAGAAAAGTGAGATCAACAGAGAGAGGGATCCGCTCCACACGGACCGACTGGCTGTAGATCCAGGACTCAGACTGTAGAACGAGGACTGAGGCTGTAGATCCAGGACTCAGACTGTAGAACGAGGACTGAGGCTGTAGATCCAGGACTCAGACTGTACAACGAGGACTGAGGCTGTAGATCCAGGACTCAGACTGTACAACGAGGACTGAGGCTGTAGATCCAGGACTCAGACTGTAGAACGAGGACTGAGGCTGTAGATCCAGGACTCAGACTGTAGAACGAGGACTGAGGCTGTAGACCCAGGACTCAGACTGTAGAACGAGGACTGAGGCTGTAGATCCAGGACTCAGACTGTACAACGAGGACTGAGGCTGTAGATCCAGGACTCAGACTGTACAACGAGGACTGAGGCTGTAGATCCAGGACTCAGACTGTAGAACGAGGACTGAGGCTGTAGATCCAGTACTCAGACTGTAGAACGAGGACTGAGGCTGTAGATCCAGGACTCAGACTGTACAACGAGGACTGAGGCTGTAGATCCAGGACTCAGACTGTAGAACGAGGACTGAGGCTGTAGATCCAGGACTCAGACTGTAGAACGAGGACTGAGGCTGTAGATCCAGTACTCAGACTGTAGAACGAGGACTGAGGCTGTAGATCCAGGACTCAGACTGTACAACGAGGACTGAGGCTGTAGATCCAGGACTCAGACTGTAGAACGAGGACTGAGGCTGTAGATCCAGGACTCAGACTGTAGAACGAGGACTGAGGCTGTAGATCCAGTACTCAGACTGTAGAACGAGGACTGAGGCTGTAGATCCAGGACTCAGACTGTAGAACGAGGACTGAGGCAGTAGATCCAGGACTCAGACTGTAGAACGAGGACTGAGGCTGTAGATCCAGGACTCAGACTGTACAACGAGGACTGAGGCTGTAGATCCAGGACTCAGACTGTACAACGAGGACTGAGGCTGTAGATCCAGGACTCAGACTGTAGAACGAGGACTGAGGCTGTAGATCCAGTACTCAGACTGTAGAACGAGGACTGAGGCTGTAGATCCAGGACTCAGACTGTAGAACGAGGACTGAGGCAGTAGATCCAGGACTCAGACTGTAGAACGAGGACTGAGGCTGTAGATCCAGGACTCAGACTGTAGAACGAGGACTGAGGCTATAGATCCAGGACTCAGACTGTAGAACGAGGACTGAGGCTGTAGATCCAGGACTCAGACTGTAGAACGAGGACTGAGGCTGTAGATCCAGGACTCAGACTGTAGAACGAGGACTGAGGCTGTAGATCCAGGACTCAGACTGTAGAACGAGGACTGAGGCTATAGATCCAGGACTCAGACTGTAGAACGAGGACTGAGGCTGTAGATCCAGGACTCTCAGACTGTAGAACGAGGACTGAGGCTGTAGATCCAGGACTCAGACTGTAGAACGAGGACTGAGGCTATAGATCCAGGACTCAGACTGTAGAACGAGGACTGAGGCTGTAGATCCAGGACTCAGACTGTAGAACAAGGACTGAGGCTGTAGATCCAGGACTCAGACTGTAGAACGAGGACTGAGGCTGTAGATCCAGGACTCAGACTGTAGAACGAGGACTGAGGCTGTAGATCCAGGACTCAGACTGTAGAACGAGGACTGAGGCTGTAGATCCAGGACTCAGACTGTAGAACGAGGACTGAGGCTGTAGATCCAGGACTCAGACTGTAGAACGAGGACTGAGGCTGTAGATCCAGGACTCAGACTGTAGAACGAGGACTGAGGCTATAGATCCAGGACTCAGACTGTAGAACGAGGACTGAGGCTGTAGATCCAGGACTCTCAGACTGTAGAACGAGGACTGAGGCTGTAGATCCAGGACTCAGACTGTAGAACGAGGACTGAGGCTATAGATCCAGGACTCAGACTGTAGAACGAGGACTGAGGCTGTAGATCCAGGACTCAGACTGTAGAACAAGGACTGAGGCTGTAGATCCAGGACTCAGACTGTAGAACGAGGACTGAGGCTGTAGATCCAGGACTCAGACTGTAGAACGAGGACTGAGGCTGTAGATCCAGGACTCAGACTGTAGAACGAGGACTGAGGCTGTAGATCCAGGACTCAGACTGTAGAACGAGGACTGAGGCTGTAGATCCAGGACTCAGACTGTAGAACGAGGACTGAGGCTGTAGATCCAGGAGGACTGAAGCACTCCCAGGCGGGTCGGTCAGGGCAGTCCGCAGGTGTAGATGGAGGAGGCCAGGCTCAGAGGTCCCGTCATCGTACCATGAAACAGACAATGGGACAACGGGTGAATAGCAATGAACAAACTACAGTCAAAATCCTAATAATGCTAAACAGATAAAGTAGGAAGGAGGAGAGGATAGTGCTCAAGTTACCATACTTCTCCAGCAGGGGGCTCCCTATGCAGCTTGACTGACAGTCTGAGGAGTTTAGCCTTCCCTGAGTCTTACCTTCCTAGCCATATGCTAAACTAAAGAGGACTGTTTTAGCCTAGCCTTGAATGTAGAGAGCGTGTCCAAAGAAGGAGAGACAGCAGCAGCCATGGCTAGGCTAGCCCAGGCTACAGCACCAAGGAATCTGCAGTAGGACATGTGGTCGATGTATTATGAGCAAACCAGTCCCTGCAGGAAGTAGTAATTCATCAGAATCCAACTCTGCAAACCTGAGACCATCTGCAACTTTGGACCGGGTTTGCAACTAAAGTCTCTCCTATCAGCAAGAATATCCTGGGTTCGAATCCCGGTCAGAACAGGGTCTTTCTGAGTGGAGTTTACTGTGTCTGTGCAGGTTTCCTCCAGGTGCTCCGTTTTCCCCTACCACTAAAAACATGCACCTCCGACCAAACACCATCCATTCAGACGGTCTGAATGGATGGTGTTTGGTCGGAGGTTTTGATGGACCAGATCTGCGCTATATATATAAAGATTACTTACTTCCTTGGTGGCTGAATGTTCTGGGTTCAAATCCTGGTCGGAACAGGGCCTTTCTGAGCGGAGTTTGCATGTTCTCCCCGTGTCTGCGTAGGTTACAATAGGTGTGAATGTAATGAGTGAGTGAATGGATGGTGTTTGGTCGGAGGCTTTGATGGTCCAGTGTGTTTGGCGTCTCGGTGTGGAGAAAAGGAAAAAAATATCTAAACTCTGAACAATTGTGAAGTGCTTTGAATATATAGATTACTGTGGACCGAGTGACTCAGGGCCTAAAGACAAGACAGTCGTCCCACTGTGGAACCTGATAGTCCAGTGGTCTCCCATCCAAGTGTTAACCAGACACTGCACTGCTGCTCGAGGGACTGAAAACACCTAGAACCTGTGAAGAGAGAACTGAGAAACCATCGATGTTTCTTTCTGGTATAGTTTGTAAAAAAACAACGCCGTGGTAGAGCTGGAAGTACAAAAGATCAGCCCCACACAACACCCAAAAAAATTATAATTTTTTTTGCCATAATTATGATGTTTTTGTGTTTGTTGCTGCACATCTACTGCCTTTTTATTATATATTGAATTATATATTTTACATTTAAAACATTTAAATTGTATGGTCTAAACTCTGACGACAAAGCAACATGAAAATCATAACAAGAACAAAACCTTTCTCCACCTGAGGATTAGTAAAAAACACATGTAAAAAAACAATTAAATGACGTGATAATTAAACTAAACATTTCCCACAGTTTATTGACGATTATTAATCTTTTATTTGCTTATTTTACAGCATGCAGCAAATCTGGAGCAAAAGCAAAATGAGACGGAAAACAAGAAAGTCCATGGAGACGTGGTGAAATACGGGACTGTGATCCAGGTAACGTCACCACACACCGGATCCATAAATACAATGTTTTTAAATATATCCTAAATAATTAATTTTGGGTTAATCATGGAAGTAATATTATTTCTTTCTTATTATGGGCCTCAAGGATAATTTTAACTTTTCTCCCATATATTTTTTTTTTTTTTTTAGTTGATTCTAGCCTGGTCTTACCATACCATCATACTCATTTCTTTTCTAAATATGTGCTTTACTGCTGTCTGTAATCCTTGTTTTTGCCCAGTTAAATGCCCTTATTTATGTATTATTATGACAAATGGTTGAAACTTTCCCACTGCTACTTGCACAGTTTGTCTTATAGTAACAGTATTTAATGCTTTTGATTTTGACTTGAACTGAGAGTCCTAAAGTTCTTAAGTGACCGAGCTCTGTGCGCAAATTGCCGATTCTTTTTCTATAATCTTGAATCTTCATTTCCCGATGTAAACTCCAGCTTGTCTTAGCAACACTTTAAATTAACATCTGCTCCTGCTGCTGAAAACGGTCACTCTGTCGTAACAAAAGCCCATAGAAGAAATTCAGCTTCAAATTTAATTCAATATTAGCCTGGTCTTACCGCACCATGGTACTCTTTTCATTTGTACTGAGGTCTGGTTTCATTGACTTCGTTAACAGGTGGGAGGGGTTAACTCCTTTTGCAGATTGAAACCATTGGATCTGAGTTTACCGTGACGTATGTAATGAGCCCGAGTGAGTGAGGCATTTAGCATGTAGCCTAGCTTTAGCATGTAGCCTAGCTTTAGCATTAGCCTAGCTTTAGCCATCTCCTTTGCCGCTAACGGAGCCCATCTTTGCTTCAATGACATTTACTAAACTTTCCTCTTGCTCCGGCTTCAGTTTCTTGATATTTGGATTGAACCAGAACAGATTATTTTACTATCGCATTCTCCGACAAACTACAACCAGCAAATTCAGCACAAACTCTTGACTAAACACTAGCACTGAGGGACAAAATGTCTGCGTTGTCATTGATAATTTCGAAAATATGACCAAACATTGAACTGAATGTGTAAACACCGAAATTAAGAAAAATGTAACCCAAAATACAGGCTTGAAAATCAAATGTAATTTAATAAAAATCCAAATCTAGAGAATCAAAAAGCAGAAAACTCCAGAAATGAAAAATACACAGTGTCAAACTATTAACATGACGGACCAGATTCATCAGAAAATTCCTCTCGTCTGACTTTGCCCTCTGCAGAAGTAATAATTATCGCTGCGGCGTTAGAGAGTGAATCATAGCCGTAGAACAAAGAGGGAGGGACCGTGAACCGTCTGAATCCAGATGTGCCACTCATCACAGCGTACGACTCATTTCCCTTGAGTTAGTTGCAGTGGGGGAGGGTCCCGGCTCAAAAGTGGCCAAAATGACGTGCGCTGACATGCTGCAATACCACCCCGGGCCTGTGGGGGTGGACCCAGAAGAAGAATTAGCCAATGCTAACATATAGCATCTTCTTACCTCTGGAAAACGTCTTTACAGGATGGTCCAAAAGCTGGCTCTTGGCCCAAAGCTCCGTTCCACATGTGTGTCAATGCTGTGGGGAGGGGATAAACACAAAATTAAATGTTTTCAAATAAATAAATAAATAACATCTCTCCTACACTTACACGTCTTGATGCAATGTATTGTTCTTTATGTGACTTCAGTTTTATAACCTTTTTAATCAGACCCACATGTCTGCAATAGGCTATGAGACAGTTTTAGTCTTCTGTTTCTTGAACCTGGCCAGTAGGGGGCGCATGAGCAGAGATGGGACTCTTTTGCTCCCATTGAAAACCATGTAAAGTCTGTTTTCCAAAAGTGGTTCTTGGTCCAAATAGCTCAGTTGGTAGAGCATTGGCCTTTGAGCCTGAAGGTTGTGGGTTCGAGCCCACTAAAAGACTTTCACAATTGTCTGCTGTTGTTGTGTCCTTGGGCAACACACTTAACCTCTGGGAACAGCAGGTGCCACAGTGGGGCGGCTGCGGCTGTAAAGTGCCAAACTCTGGCTGTGTCCTTAGGCAAGACACTTCCCCCACAATAGAATGAGTCTGGTGTGTGTGTGAATGGTTGGTGGTGGTGGGAGTGGCTGATGGCACAGACTGGTTGCCTCGCTTCTGTCAGTGTGCCCCAGGGCAGCTGTGGCTACAGTAGTTTATCACCACTGTGTTTGGAGAGAAAGAATAATTATGTGAAGAGACTTTGAGCGTCCAAAAAAGCGCTGTATAAAACCTATTATTATTATTATTATTATTATTATTATTATTATTATTATCATTATTATTATAGATAAAGTGGATTGGATTGAATCTCCACTCCATTGTAGCTCCAAGTTTTGCAAAAATAACTTTTCATCCAAACACCGGACTCTTATTCCTTAGTAATCGCCAACAAGTCACTTAAAATAGACCAGGGGTCGGCAACCCGCGGCTCCGGAGCCGCATGCGGCTCTTGAGTGCTCCTGGAGTGGCTCCTGGAGCCTTTTCAAACATGTCTGAAAATGGAGTGTGAGGGCTATATTTTATTTCTAGTTTGAATGTGGTTTCTGTAGGAGGAAAAACAATCTTTACGTTTTTAAATGCTGTAAAAATATGTATAAGTAATATCTAATTTCAACATTTCTGTCAACGTAGTGCGTCATATCCTATGACGCGCGGTCACACGGCCCCGCCCCCTTCAGCCGCTGCTGTAAACAAACCGGCGTGTGTGCATCATAGACTGTAAGTGCACATGGATCCCAAAGCTAAAACGAGAAAGAGTCGATAACAAGACTGGACTAAGAATGAGAATGAACATTTTCTTTCAGTCAATGAGGAAGGACTGCTTCATGTTTGTAATGAAAAGTTTTGTTGCAACACGAGGAACAATGACGCGCAAAACGACGTAAACGGTGATTACGTGAAGGATTCATTCATCAAAAATTCAGAGCACCTATTTTCAGACTTCAAAACCTTCTCAAAGATGGTGAAAGAAACGGCCATTAAGGATTTTAATTCAGCTCCAGCAAACTTCAGCCTGTGATGTGGTGGATATGAGCAGACAGTGATGCAGGTGACCTCTGAGCCCAAAGCAGATTTATTTACTGTATTTCTATAATTGCATGAAGGCAAAAAAATGGAAGTTAAACTAAAGCAGAGTTGTCACGTGTTGCGTCATTCAGGACACGCGTGGTGCGACACGCTGCAGTGAAAACACACATTTGATAATCATGAATGATTATTATGTATTTGTAGCCTTTACTTTGTCATTTAGATATTAGGCTAATATAGCTAATACATCTTGCAGCCTGTGTTACCTTCATAAAAGCCTTATACAAGGCTGTTATTTTTTTGCGGCTCCAGACAGATGTTGTTTTTAGTTTTTTTGTCAATTATGGCTCTTTGAACATTTTGGGTTCCCGACCCCTGAAATAGACAAATATGGAGCAGTTTAAACTAGTACATCAGGTGAGATTAATATTCATGGGATTGTTTTTTTTTGTGAAAGACTAGTTTTGGTTCATTATAGAAGCATAAAAAACAATGTAAAACACACAGGGAAAGGATAGAATCAGACACTGGAGAGAGTGAACATGGAACCAGCCTGAATGAATGGGCCAGAATTCCAGAGATTCCTTTTCAATGCTGCGCCCATTTACTTTTCTGCTTTGTTTCTGTGACGCAGCGACACTTTTGAAAGATGAAGGAGAAGCTCGAGAAGTGGTGTGAGGCACAGAAAGGAAATCACATTAAAAGGCCCTAATCTGTCATCATTAAAGGGAATAATCTGCCATCATTAAACGGCCATAATCTGTCATCATTAAAGGCCCTAATCTGTCATCATTAAAGGCCCCTAATCTGTCATCATTAAAGGGCCCTAATCTGTCATCATTAAAGGGCCCTAATCTGTCATCATTAAAGGCCCCTAATCTGTCATCATTAAAGGGCCCTAATCTGTCATAATTAAAGGGCCCTAATCTGTCATCATTAAAGGGCCCTAATCTGTCATCATTAAAGGGCCCTAATCTGTCATCATTAAAGGGCCCTAATCTGTCATCATTAACCACTTAGCAACCACCAACCCGCCGGCGGGTTGTTTTTATGTTTTTAAATGTTCTGCTGGCAATAGCAGATGTATTTTGAACACCAAACCCCAAAAGCTGTATATCATTTTAAAGCTTATTTTCTTATCTACATTTACATACAAGTGTAAACTACATCAGACTTTGCATTCAAAAGATATAACACATAATGTGGGCACAAAATAAATCAATTCGGAAATAGTTCTTTACCTTTGGGCTTGTGCTGTACAAATAAATCAGCTCTCCTCCCAGCTTGCAATACATCATTCTCTCTGGAACAGTCCAAAGGAAAATTATATCCACTTGTATTTCCCAAAGTAAAATCCATTCTGCAGAAATAATCCAAAAATGTGCATTTATCTTTAGCGAAAAAAACGAAAAAAAAGAGCACAGATGTTACTCTTTCACTTTTAACGGACTTTTAGCTTTGTTTTTCACCCGAACATCTGGTATCTACGTGTTCCTTAGCTCCTTATCTTTCAAATGAGACTACTCCCGAAAAGCTAGACCAATTTTTGGGTCTGCAATAGGTCCCGCAAATAACGCTAGCGCTGCTGTTTGCGCATTGGTGGCTAATCTTTTGTGGGGTCCCAACTTGTTTACGTTTACTTCCGGGATTTACGATTGACATGTCCTTGTAGCCAATGAGGAAAGCTTTCGAACAAGGGGTGGGACAATGGTGTCCTGTCTTATCTTGGGCCTGGACCATTGTGCGTACTGGAAGATAAAAGACGCTCTCGAATCTGCAATGAATTTACACTCATAAAAAAATAACTTTGACTTTAAAAAAGAAAAACACACATAGATTAGTAACTTATAAGTACCAATAATAAAAAATATTGTTTTTATGATGATTAAATGTAAGTAAAGATATTTGGCACAATTTGGCACACTTGTGCCAAATTGTGCCAAATGTGCACTACTTGATGAAAAGGAGAAACTGCATAAAAACTATAAAACTTAGAAGTCTGAAACTTTAGACAGTTGTTGTCAACAACACAATGAACAGAGGGTTTGAATATTGTGAACTTACAATGAAGTATGCCTTTTTTAGGGCCTTTAGACATTGAAAATGTTAGGCGAGGCTAAAAAAATTGGGGTTTTTTCCCTAACTTCAAAGGATGCAGAGGAAAATAGGAATGACAAACATTATTTTAGTGTTTTTTTACATAAACTAGAAGGCTCTAGCTTTAAAATGATGCATCACACAAGCATGTGAGATGTAAGATGTGTTTTTAAATAAGCAAAGACATTTGGGTATGCCCAACTTATGTGCACGAGCCAAAATGAGGCGGTTGTTAATTAAAGGGCCCTAATCTGTCATCATTAAAGGGCCCTAATCTGTCATCATTAAAGGGCCCTAATCTGTCATCATTAAAGGTCCCTAATCTGTCATCGTTAAAGGCCCTAATCTGTCATCATTAAAGGGTCCTAATCTGTCATCATTAAAGGGTCCTAATCTGTCATCATTAAAGAGCCCTAATCTGTCATCATTAAAGAGCCCTAATCTGTCATAATTAAAGGCCCTAATCTGTCATCATTAAAGGGTCCTAATCTGTCATCATTAAAGGGTCCTAATCTGTCATCATTAAAGAGCCCTAATCTGTCATCATTAAAGCGCATACAGGAGTTATATACTGTACTGTAGTTAGTATTTACTTGATTACAGATACATGACATGTGCAGGCTCAGCAGTTCTCCTTGTACAGTCTGACAGCAGCAGGAAGGAAAACTCTCTGTGTGAACCTCTCCTTGGCACAGCGGGGGGTGAATAAATCTGTCCCTGAGCTGCTCTCTGCTGTTTGCGCACCGACATATCCCACGTGTGTGTTTTGCGTCTTGTCACGGACAGACCTCAGGGACTTGTGTAAACAGAGAAATCTCGGCCCCGCCTTGAACACACACTCTTCGTCTCCGGGAGGTAGTTCCACACACGTTTACGTCCGTCACAAACACAGTTAAAGTCAAACTGTGGCAGAAGAGCGTTGGTTCATGACCCCCACACCCACACTGCCCATTGATGGTTAACTACTGTATACAGTGATAAATGGAGTTGTGTTTTTGTGGTTTTTGTCCCGGTGCGGGGTTCACTAAAATGGCAGGTAGTAACACACATCACACATGCACCACTCCCTAAGAATCTGCCAATCATTACAATGTTCACTACTTTATACCGGTTACTCTCTGTTTTATTATCACAGATAGTAACTAAGAGTGTTACTGGTGGTATATTTACTTTGCACATTGATCATTGCAAGTTTTACACCGAAAAAGTTCAATTAAGTTGAAGATTTATTCACTAAAAATAACATGAATTTCTAGTTTTAAGACACTTCATAATCTTATTAGAGATAAAAGTCTAAGCAGTGAGTTTTTAAGATTATTTAAAGTATTTTTTTCTTATTTTTATGGGAGAGGCTGCACTACCACTTTTGGCCAGACTATTCCATACTGCTCCTTTAAGTTTTCCAGGGAAGGTCCTGACAAAACCCAACACCAACATCTGGAGATGGTTCCCTGAGCGCTGCACAGTCACGATCTGACCTGATAACTATTGACGTCCTGCTGAAGGATGGGTCAAACGGACTGATTTCCCTAAAGGGACCATAAACACTTACAAACAGAAAGCTCTGTATGGATTTTGTGCTAACTTCATGAAGCAGGATGAAGCGTCATGGTTTTAGACCTTGTTTAGTCAGTTTTATCAGATACTTACACCTTACTCACCTTATGTATTGCTAATAACTGTAACTCTGTATTGCACCTTATTGAACTGTATCTAATATGTATTTGAACTGCATTTAAAGGAGCAGTATGTAAAAATGTGTCCAAAAGTGGTACTGCAGCCTCTCCCACTCTCTCTGACTCAGGTTGCCAGATATGCAGACGAATCCAGCTGGGACCATAACAGCTGAATAGACAAGAGTTTTGTCAACAACAAATCTATAACCAACACCTTTTTCACAAAGATAGAAATCCTGGTTTTATTCCTTGTTTTGTCGTTAATGATTTGAGAATCATAACGAGACCTTTTTTAGTTCTGCACCACATGGTACTTTACCAGTGAGATTAGCTCCACGCGGTGAGTTCTGGCGCCCGGATCACAGACTTTCTGATTGGTGAAACGGTGGAGGGCGGGACATCGAAATGAAAACAATAACAAGATTTAGAGGCTGGAAAACTAACTTTGAAATCCAAATATCTCTGATCTACTGTTATCAGTTAAAGAAGTGTTGGAAAAGAGCAGTTTATTATTATGACAGATTAGGGCCCTTTAATGATGACAAATTAGGGCCCTTTAATAATGACAGATTAGGGCCCTTTAATGATGACAGATTAGAGCCCTTTAATAATGACAGATTAGGGCCCTTTAATGATGACAGATTAGGGCCCTTTAATAATGACAGATTAGAGCCCTTTAATGATGACAGATTAGAGCCCTTTAATAATGACAGATGAGGGCCCTTTAAAGATGACAGATTAGGGCCCTTTAAAGATGACAGATTAGGGCCCTTTAATGATGACAGATTAGGGCCCTTTAATGATGACAGATTAGGGCCCTTTAATGATGACAGATTAGGGCCCTTTAATGATGACAGATTAGGGCCCTTTAACGATAATGAATCTGATGCATGTGTTTACTGCATCCACACATTGTCCTTGATAAACGAAACCTTAAACCTTCCCTTTTTCTCTGTAACTTTGAAGTTGAATTCTTGTATGTTTTTGTTCGCAGCTGTTGCACATGAAGAGCAACAAGTACCTGACGGTGAACAAGCGTCTGCCCGCTCTGCTGGAGAAGAACGCCATGAGGGTCACCCTGGACGGCACCGGCAACGAGGGCTCCTGGATGTTCATTCAGCCCTTCTGGAAACTACGAGCCACTGGGGATAATGTACCATATCTGACGCTACACTGCACAAAATACCCTGGAAAAAAATAAGAAAAACATATGTGAAAATGAGTAAAATACTGCTTAAAATAATAAAAATGGTCTGAAAATCGAAAAATTAAGTAAGATTTCTGAAAATATGAAAATATTGCTAGCCTCAAATGACTTGATTCTAGTTTAAAAACGTACATTTCAAGATGGATTTACTTATTTTTTAAACCATTTTATTGTTTTCTTAAAATACAACATCACAAACTTATTTTATCTAAACAAGAAAAGTCTCAAAATAAGACTTTTTTCTCTAATAATATTATGAAGTATTTTAAAACTAGTAAAATAATCTTATGACACACTACATTCAAGAAACAAAAACTTACAAAACCCATAAAAAACAAGCATAATTTATGTTATTTTTAGTGAATAAATCTTACCAATATTTTACTTTTTTCAGCTTTTTTCTACTTTTTTCTACTCAAATGCAAATACGTTTAAATTTTTTTTTAAAATCTAGCAAAATGTATTTTAGTTTGAGCACATTCTGACTGAGCCTAAAAACCAGATTTTCCAACGGGGCAAAGCAAAATTATCCTGTTTTAAGTAAGTATGTAATATTTTTTTATATAGCGCATTTTACAGACCAAAGTCACCAAAGCACTTTACGGTTTAAAAGAGAAATGTCTCCATGGAATGAGAAAATAAAGCAAAAATCCCTAAAATAAGACTAAATGACTTTGTCCCACTGGAGAATCTTGTTTTAACACAGTCATAATGAACTAAGATTAAAAACACTTAATTCAAACCATTTATACTTAATATTTTATCTTTTTTTGCAGTGTACCCATGATCCTCTGTTTCTTGCAGGTGGTGGTCGGAGACAAAGTGATTCTGAATCCAGTCAACGCCGGACAACCTCTGCATGCGTCAAACTACGAGTTAACAGACCACCCAGGCTGCAAGGAGGTAAAACATGGAACATCCGCACTGTGGCTCCTGCTGGTCCCAGAGGTTTCCCATCACAGCACTGACCAGGCCCTGTCCTGCTTAGCCCCAGAAGTCTGACATGATCTGGTTTTCACGTACATAACGACAGGACGATTTAATCCCTCTCTTGGGTATTGTGGCCAAACCTGCGTTCTAAAACCAGCTCCTGTCAGACCTCTGAAGCTAAGCAGGGCAGGGCCTGGTTAGTGCTGTGATGGGAGACCTCTGGGATAACAGCAGGTGCCACAGTGGGGCGGCTGGGGCTATAAAGTGCCACTTCACTTCACTTCACTTCACTTTATTTCATGTTCCCGATGGGGCAATTTGGTTCACAGCACAGGGACACATACAAAGAAAAAGACATAGAATAAACATTTTCCCCATACATTCAGACTAACAAGGTGTCCATATACAGTCTTCCAGTCAGGTCAATGGCAGTTTAAAAACAGGATAAAAAAGAAGACAAAAACTGTCCCCCTCAAGCAAAAATTTCAACCCCTATTTCCTCTGTCTCTGGTTTGAGTTTAGTGTAGAGATCCAAACTGTGGCTATTATATTCAGATGTGAACAATTGGACTTAAAACCTCCCCTGAATGTCTGTCTCTCCCTAAAGGTGAACTCTGTGAACTGCAATACCAGCTGGAAGATCAATCTCTTCATGATGTTCAGTGACCACCGAGAGGAAGTACTAAAAGGGGTAAGACCATTCCCATTTAGTATGTGAGTAAGTCTAGAAAGGGCCATGTGGCTGCAGGTTTTAGTTCCATCATTTCCAACCTGAGCAGGGGCACAGATTAGGTTACAGTCCAGGTTAAAACTGGACTGTAGGGACTAAAACCTGCAGCCACATGGCCCTTTCTGGAGCCTTTTTGAGACCCCTGCCATACACAATCAATAGTCACAAAGCGCTTAAGATTCTCCAAATCCGCTCCAGAACATAAGACAGTAGTATCATCCGCAAATAATAAACATTTCCTGACTTTGGGTTCATCACAGGTTTTGTTGATATATAGTAGGAACAATGTCGGCCCAAGGATAGAACCTTGAGGGACCCCACACACGATGTTACAGAAAGAAGATTTGTGTTCAGATAAAATGTAGTCTGTGCTGGACGTAAGACAGAAGGTGCCAGACCTATTGAACATGTTTTTAGTGGTCGGGGAAAACCGTAGCACCCAGAGGAAACCTACACAGACACGGGGAGAACATGCAAACTCCACTCAGAAAGACCCTGCTCTGACCAGGAATCAAACCCAGGACCTTCTTGCTGTGAAGTGAGAGGGCTAACCACTCAGAAAGCTTTGTTTATTGCTCTGCAAATTAGAATATCGTTAATTATTTGCGTAATTATATGTAAAATATGAAATAAATGACGCATTACAGATAAAGGAACATGGTCTATTTTCACTTTTAAATTATCAAACTGCTATTTTCAGACTTTTCTCGACAGGAAATGACATTATTTTTCCCGTTTTCTAACTTTGTGTTTGTTTGTGTGTTGTTCTCAGGGAGATGTGGTGCGGTTGTTTCACGCTGAGCAGGAGAAGTTTCTCACCTGTGACGAGTACAAAAGCAAACTCCACGTGTTCCTGCGGACGACGCTGCGGCAGTCGGCCACGTCTGCCACCAGCTCCAATGCATTGTGGGAGATTGAGGTACAGACCCGACTGTACCTGTAGTACAGACAGGACTGTACCTGTAGTCCTCTTTTTGAAAACTATAAAACCTCTTTGTGGATCGTCAGGTGGTTCATCATGATCCCTGCAAAGGAGGAGCCGGACACTGGAACAGTCTGTACAGGTTCAAACATCTGGCCACAGGGAACTACCTGGCTGCGGAGGTAAGACCCGACGAGACCGAGACGAGACTGAGATGAGGCTGAGAGAGACACAGACAGAGACTGAGACGAGACTGAGACAAGACGAGACGAGACGAGACTGAGACGAGACTGAGATGAGGCTGAGAGAGACAGAGACAGAGACAGAGACTGAGACGAGACTGAGACTGAGACTGAGACTGAGACTGAGACGAGACTGAGACTGAGACTGAGACTGAGACGAGACTGAGACGAGACGAGACGAGACTGAGACTGAGACTGAGACTGAGACTGAGACGAGACTGAGACTGAGACTGAGACTGAGACGAGACTGAGACGAGACGAGACGAGACTGAGACGAGACGAGACTGAGACTGAGACGAGACGAGACTGAGACTGAGACTGAGACGAGACTGAGACGAGACGAGACGAGACTGAGACGAGACTGAGATGAGGCTGAGAGAGACAGAGACAGAGACAGAGACTGAGACGAGACTGAGACTGAGACTGAGACTGAGACTGAGACGAGACTGAGACTGAGACTGAGACTGAGACGAGACTGAGACGAGACGAGACGAGACTGAGACGAGACGAGACTGAGACTGAGACGAGACGAGACTGAGACTGAGACTGAGACGAGACTGAGACGAGACGAGACGAGACTGAGACGAGACGAGACTGAGACTGAGACGAGACTGAGACGAGACTGAGATGAGACGAGACAAGACAGAGGCTGAGACTGAGACCGAGATGAGACCGAGACAGAGACTGAGACTGAGACGAGACAGAGACTGAGACTGAGACGAGACCGAGACGAGAAAGAGACAGAGATGAGGCTGAGACGAGATGAGACAGAGACGAGACAGGGACGAGACTGAACGGGACAGGGACAGAGACAGAAACAAGACAAGATAACAGAGATCCTTTGTTTGACCCACAGTGGGGAAATTTCACTGTTGCAGCGCACAGACAGGACCAGTGTAAAACCATGAATCCTCTCTGCTTAGGTCTGGACCAGTGTAAAACCATGAACACTGAACTGCAGCAACATCTCACGGAGACAAATAACAATCGTAAAACAGAACAACAGTTTCAGAGACACTTCAGACTCGCTGCAGTTTCCAGAACGTTCTAAAGTAAACAGTCAGAGACACACAGTTTACAACATGAATAACTTCTGTTTCTTGGCTGCAAACGCTTCAGTATCAATCAATTCAGAAAAATCAATATATATAGTGCCAGGTTTTACACAGGACAACACTGCGGCAGTCGGCCACTTCTGCGTCCAGCTGCAATGCATTGTGGGAGATATGAGTCTGGACCACTTCACCTTTAGTCGTCTTTTTAAAAACTAGCTCCTCGTTGGTCCTCACAGGGTCAGGAGCAGATAACCTTCTGTATTGCACACATTGCACATGATTTTTGGTTTTTACTTGTTTACAGTCCTCATTGTACAGTCTGACAAAGTGAATATCCACAGTTAAATAATCTAACGGAATATTAAAACTAAAGGCTGCATTTAAATTGGGAAATGTCTGATTTGACTTCTTTCAGGAAAACCCCGGATACAAAGGAGACGTGGAGCTCTCTTCTTCTGTGAGTTTGACTGTTTTTGATCATTTTTGTCGCAAACCTGAGATTCTCTCTGTTCTGACCCTGACCCTGCCTCCTCCTGACCCTGCCTCCTCCTGACCCTGCCTCCTCCTGACCGCCTCCTCCTGACCCTGCCTCCTCCTGATCCTGCCTCCTCCTGACCGCCTCCTCCTGACCCTGCCTCCTCCTGACCCTGCCTCCTCCTGACCGCCTCCTCCTGACCCTGCCTCCTCCTGACCCTGCCTCCTCCTGACCGCCTCCTCCTGACCGCCTCCTCCTGACCCTGCCTCCTCCTGACCGCCTCCTCCTGACCGCCTCCTCCTGACCGCCTCCTCCTGACCCTGCCTCCTCCTGACCCTGCCTCCTCCTGACCGCCTCCTCCTGACCCTGCCTCCTCCTGACCGCCTCCTCCTGACCGCCTCCTCCTGACCCTGCCTCCTCCTGACCCTGCCTCCTCCTGACCGCCTCCTCCTGACCGCCTCCTCCTGACCCTGCCTCCTCCTGACCGCCTCCTCCTGACCGCCTCCTCCTGACCGCCTCCTCCTGACCCTGCCTCCTCCTGACCGCCTCCTCCTGACCGCCTCCTCCTGACCGCCTCCTCCTGACCGCCTCCTCCTGACCGCCTCCTCCTGACCGCCTCCTCCTGACCCTGCCTCCTCCTGACCGCCTCCTCCTGACCGCCTCCTCCTGACCCTGCCTCCTCCTGACCCTGCCTCCTCCTGACCCTGCCTCCTCCTGACCGCCTCCTCCTGACCCTGCCTCCTCCTGACCCTGCCTCCTCCTGACCGCCTCCTCCTGACCCTGCCTCCTCCTGACCCTGCCTCCTCCTGACCGCCTCCTCCTGACCCTGCCTCCTCCTGACCCTGCCTCCTCCTGACCCTGCCTCCTCCTGACCCTGCCTCCTCCTGACCGCCTCCTCCTGACCCTGCCTCCTCCTGACCCTGCCTCCTCCTGACCCTGCCTCCTCCTGACCCTGCCTCCTCCTGACCGCCTCCTCCTGACCGCCTCCTCCTGACCGCCTCCTCCTGACCGCCTCCTCCTGACCCTGCCTCCTCCTGACCCCGCCTCCTCCTGACCGCCTCCTCCTGACCCTGCCTCCTCCTGACCCTGCCTCCTCCTGACCGCCTCCTCCTGACCCTGCCTCCTCCTGACCGCCTCCTCCTGACCGCCTCCTCCTGACCCTGCCTCCTCCTGACCCTGCCTCCTCCTGACCGCCTCCTCCTGACCGCCTCCTCCTGACCCTGCCTCCTCCTGACCCTGCCTCCTCCTGACCCTGCCTCCTCCTGACCCTGCCTCCTCCTGACCGCCTCCTCCTGACCCTGCCTCCTCCTGACCGCCTCCTCCTGACCGCCTCCTCCTGACCCTGCCTCCTCCTGACCGCCTCCTCCTGACCCTGCCTCCTCCTGACCCTGCCTCCTCCTGACCGCCTCCTCCTGACCGCCTCCTCCTGACCCTGCCTCCTCCTGACCCTGCCTCCTCCTGACCCTGCCTCCTCCTGACCGCCTCCTCCTGACCCTGCCTCCTCCTGACCCTGCCTCCTCCTGACCGCCTCCTCCTGACCCTGCCTCCTCCTGACCGCCTCCTCCTGACCCTGCCTCCTCCTGACCCTGCCTCCTCCTGACCGCCTCCTCCTGACCCTGCCTCCTCCTGACCGCCTCCTCCTGACCGACGCTCCTCCTGACCCTGCCTCCTCCTGACCGCCTCCTCCTGACCGCCTCCTCCTGACCCTGCCTCCTCCTGACCGCCTCCTCCTGACCCTGCCTCCTCCTGACCTCCTCCTCCTGACCCTGCCTCCTCCTGACCCTGCCTCCTCCTGACCGCCTCCTCCTGACCCTGCCTCCTCCTGACCGCCTCCTCCTGACCGCCTCCTCCTGACCCTGCCTCCTCCTGACCGCCTCCTCCTGACCGCCTCCTCCTGACCGCCTCCTCCTGACCGCCTCCTCCTGACCCTGCCTCCTCCTGACCGCCTCCTCCTGACCCTGCCTCCTCCTGACCGCCTCCTCCTGACCGCCTCCTCCTGACCGCCTCCTCCTGACCGCCTCCTCCTGACCCGCCTCCTCCTGACCGCCTCCTCCTGACCGCCTCCTCCTGACCTGCCTCCTCCTGACCGCCTCCTCCTGACCGCCTCCTCCTGACCCTGCCTCCTCCTGACCGCCTCCTCCTGACCGCCTCCTCCTGACCCTGCCTCCTCCTGACCGCCTCCTCCTGACCGCCTCCTCCTGACCCGCCTCCTCCTGACCGCCTCCTCCTGACCCTGCCTCCTCCTGACCGCCTCCTCCTGACCGCCTCCTCCTGACCGCCTCCTCCTGACCTGCCTCCTCCTGACCCTGCCTCCTCCTGACCGCCTCCTCCTGACCCTGCCTCCTCCTGACCCTGCCTCCTCCTGACCGCCTCCTCCTGACCGCCTCCTCCTGACCGCCTCCTCCTGACCGCCTCCTCCTGACCTGCCTCCTCCTGACCTGCCTCCTCCTGACCTGCCTCCTCCTGACCGCCTCCTCCTGACTCCTGACCGCCTCCTCCTGACCCCTCCTCCTGACCTGCCTCCTCCTGACCCGCCTCCTCCTGACCCGCCTCCTCCTGACCCGCCTCCTCCTGACCGCCTCCTCCTGACCCTGCCTCCTCCTGACCGCCTCCTCCTGACCCTGCCTCCTCCTGACCGCCTCCTCCTGACCGCCTCCTCCTGACCGCCTCCTCCTGACCGCCTCCTCCTGACCGCCTCCTCCTGACCCTGCCTCCTCCTGACCTGCCTCCTCCTGACCGCCTCCTCCTGACCCTGCCTCCTCCTGACCTGCCTCCTCCTGACCCTGCCTCCTCCTGACCGCCTCCTCCTGACCCTGCCTCCTCCTGACCGCCTCCTCCTGACCCTGCCTCCTCCTGACCTGCCTCCTCCTGACCGCCTCTCCTGACCCTGCCTCCTCCTGACCCTGCCTCCTCCTGACCGCCTCCTCCTGACCGCCTCCTCCTGACCCGCCTCCTCCTGACCTGCCTCCTCCTGACCCTGCCTCCTCCTGACCGCCTCCTCCTGACCGCCTCCTCCTGACCGCCTCCTCCTGACCCTGCCTCCTCCTGACCCTGCCTCCTCCTGACCGCCTCCTCCTGACCCTGCCTCCTCCTGACCGCCTCCTCCTGACCGCCTCCTCCTGACCGCCTCCTCCTGACCCGCCTCCTCCTGACCCGCCTCCTCCTGACCGCCTCCTCCTGACCGCCTCCTCCTGACCCTGCCTCCTCCTGACCCTGCCTCCTCCTGACCCTGCCTCCTCCTGACCCTGCCTCCTCCTGACCGCCTCCTCCTGACCCTGCCTCCTCCTGACCCTGCCTCCTCCTGACCGCCTCCTCCTGACCGCCTCCTCCTGACCTGCCTCCTCCTGACCGCCTCCTCCTGACCGCCTCCTCCTGCCTCCTCCTGACCCGCCTCCTCCTGACCCGCCTCCTCCTGACCGCCTCCTCCTGACCCTGCCTCCTCCTGACCGCCTCCTCCTGACCCGCCTCCTCCTGACCCTGCCTCCTCCTGACCCTGCCTCCTCCTGACCCTGCCTCCTCCTGACCCGCCTCCTCCTGACCCGCCTCCTCCTGACCGCCTCCTCCTGACCCGCCTCCTCCTGACCTGCCTCCTCCTCCTGCCTCCTCCTGACCCGCCTCCTCCTGACCGCCTCCTCCTGACCTGCCTCCTCCTGACCCTGCCTCCTCCTGACCGCCTCCTCCTGACCCTGCCTCCTCCTGACCGCCTCCTCCTGACCCGCCTCCTCCTGACCCTGCCTCCTCCTGACCGCCTCCTCCTGACCGCCTCCTCCTGACCCTGCCTCCTCCTGACCCGCCTCCTCCTGACCCTGACCGCCTCCTCCTGACCCGCCTCCTCCTGACCCGCCTCCTCCTGACCCGCCTCCTCCTGACCCTGCCTCCTCCTGACCCGCCTCCTCCTGACGCCGCCTCCTGACCCTGACCCTGCCTCCTCCTGACCCGCCTCCTCCTGACCGCCTCCTCCTGACCGCCTCCTCCTGACCCTGACCGCCTCCTCCTGACCTGCCTCCTCCTGACCGCCTCCTCCTGACCTGCCTCCTCCTGACCTGCCTCCTCCTGACCGCCTCCTCCTGACCCGCCTCCTCCTGACCCCGCCTCCTCCTGACCCTGCCTCCTCCTGACCGCCTCCTCCTGACCGCCTCCTCCTGACCCTGCCTCCTCCTGACCGCCTCCTCCTGACCGCCTCCCTGTCTCCGCCTCCTCCTCCCTGACCGCCTCCTCCTGACCTGCCTCCTCCTGACCCTGCCTCCTCCTGACCGCCTCCTCCTGACCGCCTCCTCCTGACCCTGCCTCCTCCTGACCGCCTCCTCCTGACCCGCCTCCTCCTGACCGCCTCCTCCTGACCTGCCTCCTCCTGACCTGCCTCCTCCTGACCCTGCCTCCTCCTGACCGCCTCCTCCTGACCTGCCTCCTCCTGACCGCCTCCTCCTGACCCTGCCTCCTCCTGACCCGCCTCCTCCTGACCGCCTCCTCCTGACGCCTCCTCCTGACCCTGCCTCCTCCTGACCGCCTCCTCCTGACCCTGCCTCCTCCTGACCGCTCCTCCTACCGCCCTGACCCGCCTCCTCCTGACCGCCTCCTCCTGACCCGCCTCCTCCTGACCGCCTCCTCCTGACCGCCTCCTCCTGACCCTGCCTCCTCCTGACCGCCTCCTCCTGACCGCCTCCTCCTGACCGCCTCCTCCTGACCCTGCCTCCTCCTGACCGCCTCCTCCTGACCGCCTCCTCCTGACCGCCTCCTCCTGACCCTGCCTCCTCCTGACCCTGCCTCCTCCTGACCGCCCTCCTCCTGACCGCCTCCTCCTGACCCGCCTCCTCCTGACCGCCTCCCCCTGACCGCTCCCTGACGCCCTCCTGACCCTGCCTCCTCCTGACCGCCTCCTCCTGACCTGCCTCCTCCTGACCGCCTCCTCCTGACCCTGCCTCCTCCTGACCGCCTCCTCCTGACCGCCTCCTCCTGACCGCCTCCTCCTGACCGCCTCCTCC